GAACTATTTCTGTGGTTTCAGGGACTAACTCTTACAGGAGTAGAAAATCCCATCTTTCTCCTGTGATAAGAACATATAAAGAAGTTTAAAAAAGAAAAGTCAAATGACCATACAAAAACCTCACTCAAGATCAATACGTGGATGTTGGACATCACGGAAAGGTGGTAAGACCAGAGGAACTGGTAAGTTACTGGGGATTTCTGCTGATAGCTCCCAGACCACAGGCATGAGAAGACATTGGAAGTAAAACTGAAACGATCTACATCGACCTAAAATCAATCATTTTAATTTTTGGAGTATTATTTTTTCATCGTATACACCTACTGCTCACACATTGACATAGTTAGGTTCTAAAGAAGAAGTTGTGCAAAAACTGGCGTTATGGAAAAATGAAGGGTGACCATGTCAGTACTCAAAACGGAGGATGATGGCATCCTCACACAACTGCCACCGTGACGTAACTGCCACCATTAGTGACAGCCAGTGTGACCCCCACCGAGCACCTCGATGTTCATTTCTGCAAGACGCGCGGCATTAGTGCGCACAACCGTCAGATTTATTTGGACAATTATCATGAATGTGAAATGTTAATAATGAGCTGGTTGATAAATGAGGCTTTGAAACCCAAAAGGGAGAAGGACTCCTTCTGAACAATGTTGCATCATCTCCCTTCCACGAACTCAACGTTACGCTCCGAGGCAGCAGGCATTATGTCTGGACTTAGCAGGTCAGCCATTAGACCCCACGGTCAGAGGACTAATGACTGGTGTTCAATGTTGGCCATGAAGATGATTTGTCATTCAGTTCCATTTTGATCCCAGCCTTACTCCTGGTTGAATGTTTATTCTACCAGAGGTTTGGAAGGGTGGAAAGAGAAGGCTCTTAAATCCATAACTGTCAATTTTTTATCTTTTCCTTAGCTGGGAGGGAATATTTGCTAGAAGTATTTATTTCAAAAGTAATAAAAAGAAAGTAAAATTAAATTTTAAAAATGGAAATAGCATAGTTTAATGGAGAAAGGCAAACCACTTTCCCTAAACTCAGTGTGTTTCCCCTTTGGTAAAATGTTAAAAATATCTGTTTCATAGTGTTACGTGTGATGATTAAGTTAGGAGCATATGAAAAGTGCTTAATAGTATTTTACATGTATTTTACAGCTCAACATGTGGTAGCTGTTATTGTTGCTTTTATTATTGCTACACTGGGTTTAGGAAATACTAAAACAATTTCCCTGATATTGTACATTGACTATAAAGGTCAGAAACAAACTCTCCTAAACTAAGATTATTATTTTTCATCAAAGTGTTCTAACATCTAAATAAAATATATTCCATGGGCTGGGAGAATAAGTTAATTTCTTCTGTTATGGGTTCCATTCATATGGCTCTGTTCCCAGGTTTGTGTATTCTGGACAAAGTGGACGTTCGGCTTGAAATGAAATTACTCTGGTTATGGTCTAAGGGGTGCGGGGCTGGCTTTCTGGCTAGCTAGAACATTTTCCAGGATCCTCGGTGTTCTATGGGGATCAGTCCTGCTTCTGCTGCCTGTGAGAGTTCTCTCCGACTCTGTTTCATGGAATCTATGCCATGTCGGCCTGCGCATCCTGGAATCAACTTGACGGCAGCGAGTTTGTTTTTATCATGGTTTTTGGAGGCTTGTATCAGGATATAGAAGGGTCACCCCTCAATCTGCATCATAAACAGTTTGTGGGAACAAAGATGGAAATCACTACAGACTACACAGTGTCTTCCTCTAGAAGGACGCTGCCTGGGACAGCAGCCACGAGTCATGGGACGAACGAGCACTTGAAGTGTGACTAGGATGGCCGGGGAACTTCATTTTGAAAAGAACTGTGATTAATTTTAAGTCAGATAACCAAGTGTTTGCAGCTGGTGGCTGCCGTGTTCAACAGCCCCGCTCAAGGTTCTCTCAAATCTCTTAGGTTCGGTCCGGATGGTCAGAAAGTGCTGGACCTCAGGATTGTTTGTGTCTTGGGAAATTATGTTCCCAAAGATCCTGTGGAATTGTGACACAGTTCATACTCGAAAGGAGTCGTGCAGACAGGTCTGCTCTGACACTCCCTCGGGTGTCTGCTGGTTAGGCAGCTTTCCTGCGGCCCTTCTCCAGAGGAAGGGGCTGGCCCAAACACGGACTCTGTGCCTCGGCGATGCAGTGATTTGTTTGATCCAGTAGTTTTACTGAACAAAATACTTTTGTAAACTAAATATTCTCTTGGTAAAGGGACTCGTTTAATTTATTCTAAGAGGGAGAAATCATATCACTGTCACACTGCAGACAAATGAATGCTTTAAACTATTGGTAGAGTCAAACACTGCTTCATCCCCAAAACAACAATTTCCATGACACGCTAGTCGGTGATGTATCAAAGCAACCCGAACATCTGTGATTCGGGACACCCCTCATCCACCACGTGGCCGTCTCAGTCTTTTTGTACTTGGAACTTTGGTGGCATATTGTGCCAATTTTCATTTGACCCAATTTTTTAAAGTTTTTTAATAATATAAAGGTGGTGGGTGTCAGAAAGTCTATTTTTTAATCCCATTTCCATGAACTTCCTGAGAACCACTCATTTTTTTCACAAAAGATTAGCACTATCAAAACAGATCTATAAAAGCTCCATTCATAACTTTTAAGATGTAATTAAAAAACGTGATCCTTCAAAATTCCTGTTTTATAATACATATTCTTGTTTTATGAACTATATCTTTCACTTTTAGCATTTTAATTGTAATAGTATTTTCATCTACCAACATGACTAAAATGCAATGCTAGTGTTTATGTTAAACATTTTGAGCGTCGACTATATTTTATGTGATAAAAATATGGTAAAAACAGCCTTTTAAGTATGTGTTCATATTTCTTATTTACCAACATTGTGTTTTGTTTCTAACTTAATTAACATAAGGGAGAGCCAGGAGGAACTGACATAGAATATTTGGTCATCCCTCACCCCTCAAGGCTTTTGTTGTCTTCTAGTGAGCTAATTCCCTGAACCGGAAAATGTATATATTATTAAGATCGGAACATCAATTTATATATTATTAAGATTGGAACATCAGAGTCTGGGCAATATAGCTCCAAATTAATAATGGCAGTATTATTTCTAGCACTTCTACTCTACTGTTGCTATGAATGAATGACAAACATTAATTTAACCAATTCTAATTTCTGCTACACATTCAAATGTCCTGTTTAATTTTAGCATCACAATAAATTGATAACAACAGGACTTTATTATCCCATTTTACAGATGAGAAAACTAAGGCTTAAAGAGGCTAATAATATACTCAAACTTGCATATCTAGAAAAGAGCCAGTCTATAATTTAATCTATGTTACTGTGCTCTGGACATATCACACACAACAACTTATAGCCATTTAACCTTAAGATGTCCAAGGACCCACGCTGTGACCAGGTTCTCAGGTGTGAGCACTTCTACTTTCATGCAGAAGGAGCACAGAGAAGCGGCGTGTTAGAATACATGCACCACACGTGACTATGAGGTTGTCAACTAAAAAGAGGATTAGACAGAAGTCAACTCAGGGAAGAAAAGTTTTGCGGGGGAACCCTCAATTTCACTCCTGGCTTATTCTCCACCCTGTGTGTCGTACTTTTCTAGTTTACATGACAGCATCTCAGGTGGCCCCTCTAATCCACCTATCTTCATCAGGTGGGTGGCCGGTTCCTTGACACCAGGGACTTTTATGTATTTGCTATGTTCTCCCATTAATGGAGGTTGCTTGCCACCCTCTCCCCTGGCTCTCCTTGGGTGGTAAAATGGTTTGTGCTCAACTGTGGTAGTTACAGAATTTCATGTCAACTTGATAAATAAAGTGAAGGGATGGAATTAAGCCTGTCAAGCAGGTCACAACCTGATGATGCCTCCTGGCGGGTGTGATCTCATGAGGAGGATTCTGGGAACGTCCTCTCTTTCACCCTGAAAGTGGGCTACACACTCTCTGCTTCACCTTCCTGTTGAGGAGACACACTGGAGCTGAGGAGACACACTGGAGCTGGGGAGCCACATGGAGCATGCAAATGGCAGCCAGAGCCCTGTCGATGCGTCCACTGCCATTGGATCCACAAGACGTTTCACCACCACGCTGGGATCTTCCTTTTCTGGCATCATTGCATGTGACTGAGTGAGTCTGAAGAGTGATGTATGGACTAGTATCAGACTTATGGGCTAATATTGGATTTATGGACTTAATCTGGACTGGGCGGGGATGTTTTCTTAATATATAATTGCTCTTCCCTAGGTTTGCTTCTCTGGTCAACCTGGACAAGCACATCAACTACTAGCCTAAAGGCTGGCATTGAAAATCTACCCAGTGATCATGTGGGAAAGGGGGCTGGAGATGCGCTTTTTATAAAGGTTATGGCCAAGAAAACCCTATGACACATGGCATTTCCACGCATCACAAGCGGCCGGATGGCAACAAGTTTGGTTTTGTATTGTTGAAATTTTCTTATTTGACTAGAGGTATCACTAGGGAGAGAAGAGTCAAATTCTCTTCTGATAAGTTAACACATTCAAGGCAAGACTCGGAATCTTTTATCTAGTACAATCACTTTTGGAGGTATAGGAAGTAAAAATAAAATATAGGAGGGCATAGAATAAAAATTTCCTGAGATGAGTAGCAAATTGAGCAAGAACATATAACTTTAAAATGTCTCCTAGAACTATGGTAATAACTTTTACTTGTTTTTAACTTTTACTTGTTTTAAAGTCCTAGGTCAATCTAGAGTTTCGATTGGCGAAGGAAAAGTGTTTTTTAAATATGTTTTGTTTCTGTTCAAAAGACACAGCAATAGTTACTACATGTACTGCTTAGTGCCATCAATTACAATCTTCACTCTTCCAATTAGTGCTTAGTGTTGTCAATTACAATCTGTCACCCTTAGGAAAGTGAATTTAAATATCTGGAGCAATAGCAAGACAGCTAACATAATTTATGTGATTCTCTTAGTAGATTTACTTCATGCTGTGAAAACGCTAAAGCACACACCTTAAGAGAGTTGCTAAATAAATTCCCAGGAAGCCTATAATAAGGAAAAGCTCCACCCACTGCCACCCCCAACACCACCCAAGCCGGTCCCAACCTATAAGACTTCTGTAAAGTGCTCTTGGGGCGGCGGGAGTCCACCGGGGACTTGCTCCTCCTTAGGCCGACTGCCGAGGTCAGAATTTGAATCAAAGCACCACACTTTCACCTTATCCCGTTATCAAAGCTCCTACCATCGTCAAGGCCCTTGTGCCATATCTTACCAGTGACCGTGTCATTTTTTGGCTTCTCCCAGTCTAAGATGACGAAGGAGGGGCACCCTTCCACGGTGACCACAGTGAGGTTGGTGGGTGGGTTCTGCGGCGGGCTGCTGGCATTCAGCTGCGTAACCTCTTCTTGGGGGAACAACCTGACGGAGTCGGTGATGGAGCACGGTTGATCGTCAGGCTTTGGGATGTATCGCACATGAGACGCTGAAAGAGAAAATGCTGAGGTTTGACATCTGCGAGTCCGTGAAGAAGAAAATGAGCTCAGAAACCCAGCGAAACCTTTCAGGGTCTCTCGCCTCATCTTGTGGGGGAATGGAGGAACCCCGTGGTGCAGGTGGAGTGAAATCCCCAAATCTTGTCTCTGGCACACATGTCCTGGATCCCATGACTTTGGGCTGTCCACAGAAGCTAAAGCTAGTTAGAGAAGTAGATCGACATCCCTCTGAGCATGGTGTGAGTGAGGGGAAGGAGCCAGACGCGCTGAACGCATGAGCACACTTTACCAGGCGGAGCGTCACTGCAGAGGGTTACTGAATGAGAGACAGACACGTGGCCATGTCACATGAAGCCAGCGTGTGCTAGGGTTTATGTTTTAAATCTCATGTTGTGTTGCTTTTGCTGTTCACCTGATCTTGCCTCAGAGGTCACACACGGGGAGAAAATATTTGCAAAAGCGTATATCTGAAAAAGGACTCATCTCCAGAAAAATATACTTTTGAAATGCACTAAGAAAAAAGCAACTTAGTAAAACAAGGCAAGTAATTATTTTGAACAAACACTTCATCAAAAAAAATATATGTAAGACCGGTACATACATGAAAAGGTGTTCACTGGGAAGATAAAATCACAAATACTACTCTCCACTAGCTAAAAAAGCTAACAATAAAAATACCAGCCCTAACGTATTAAGTATGTGAAGGAATCAGAATTCTGATCTGGAAAGGTAATTTCTTTGGAAAATATAAGGAGACGTCAAAATTTCATGGGCAAATGGAATTAAAAGACAATAAAAATTATCCATGGGCTTTTTGTAGTAGGGCAGTTCCTCAAAATTTTAAATATATACTTATGAAATAGGCTGCACTTCTCAGGTATTTATCCAAAAGGGATAAAAGTACATGTCTATCCATACATGAATATTCATAGTAAGGTGTATCGATAATAGTAAAAAACTAGAAACAATCCAATATAATGAACAGGGTAATGAATAAACAAAATAATGTATATCATACAATAGAGTATTAAAAAACACACCCAAACTAACAACAAAACCCCAAACTCATGGCCAGTGAGCCATTTCTGACACATGGAGAACATATAAGACAGAGAATGCCCTTGTGGGTTTCTGAGATGGTAACCCTAACAGGAGTGGTATGATAAAGAACTGTTCAAAAAGTACCTCCTCCGCACCGGGAGAGGAGCATACCTCCCAATCCGGGATGTAGGGCTTGGCTTTGGGGTTGACTTTTGTCACTGAATATTGGCAGACTCGACACAGACAGAGCTTGAAGTGTGCCTGTGTGTTTGGGTGGCCCCTCTTTGGGAGTTCCTTTGGCCTGAGAGCATCTGTGCTTGGGTTGTTAATGCTTCTTCCTCTTGGGCCCCAGAATGAACAGGTGTGCACAAGCCTGAGGCCGACTCATCAGAATCTCAGAGCAGAACCACCCACCCAAGCACACTTTCTTCCTTAGTTCATACTGTTTTCATTTACAGAAAAGTCCACAAAAGCAAGCTTCTTAATTTATAGGTCCAAGAGAAAGAAATCCTCAGAGCAGTGGGTTACTCAGCTTTTGGCGTAATTTGTTCCATAGCTGACTACTACACTCACCGATACTAGCCCTGTGAAAAGTGATAGTTGGAGGCAAGTTTTGCATACCTGTGAATCTGGGCTTCCCAAGACGGTCCGTTTCTCTTGTTGGGCTTGTGCTGAAGTCAGTTATATTACCTTTGAAGGGAAGAGTATAAACAGTTTCGGCAAAAGAAAAGATTATAAACAGCTTCACTATACAGTGAAAAAGTAATGCCAATCTCACCGCCAGTGATACAAACTCATAGCGACCTTGAGGACAGGGTAGAACTGCCTCTGTGGGTTTCCAAGATTGAGATCCACAAGCGCGCGCGCGCACACACACACACACACACACACACACACACAGGATTACTACCGAGTTAGTGCTACTTCATAAATTAAGGTAAAAATAATTAGTAATGATATATAATTTAATAAAAAGTATGAGATAAGCAAAACATTTTTAGGAATCAAGTGCAGGAATTAGATTCTTTAACCAAATATTGAAAATAAACAATTTTAAAATATAAAAGAATGATGTGAATCATAAAATTCAATAAAATAGAAGATACAGCTTGGAGCCTTTCCCTGGTCTCTTATGTGAACCTGCTGTCCCTTGCAGTCAAACCGCCATGAGAACAGGCTGGCATACTAACCTAGCTCTTCTCCGGAGGCAGGACTCGTCGGCTGCTTCTGCTCCTTCTCTGTGAGTTGTTCTCCGGGGACTCCAGCAGGCCCCAGTGTTGCCCTCGGTGGGGGGGAAGTCACTCGGCCTGATGAAATGACCCCTGTAATGATGAGTTAAAGTACTCAGATACATAGAGCTGTCCTGCTAACTTTTAAATTTATTTATTCACTAAATATTATCAGGCACTAACCATACGGCTTGGTACTAGAAGGGGGCTTCCAAAAGATCAGGGGAAAAGCAGAATGAAAAGATCATGGGACTTGGTCACAGATTTTCTGAAGTCACCTCACATATACAAGCTTAGTGAGAAGGCAAGACCCGGTCCTTGATGAGGACAGGTGGGTGGGCCCAGTACTTTAGTATACTGAACCATTATGGATAGCGTGAAATCACTAGGAAGGCAAAGGAAGGGGGTGATGACTCCATGGGTAAAGATGGAGAGTACTGAGTGGGCAGGGATGGGTTATAAGAACGTAACCGAGGATGTGCCCATAAACAAGAGGGGCAGTCAGTAGCTCGACATGAGAGCTGCTTACTATAAAAACCAAGGTGGGGAGTTTAAAAGACCCCAAAACAGTTTGAAGTGGCTGGGGCAGGCAGGTCATGTAGGGCCTGACCGATCAGGCTAGAATTTGAACATGATCTTTGGCAACAAGGATCCATTGCCCAGTTCAAAATAGGGAAGTAACATAAGCAGAAAGAAGAGGGATGATTTGTTAATGTGTAAGGCTAGTGGCAGAGATGGAAGTCAACAGACGCGGGCAGTGTGTATGCAAAAAAAGGTGTCCTTCGCTGGGATTCACGGTGAACATACTGACTGCTAGCCAGAGGGCTGGCAGTGCAAATTCACCCAGAAGTGCCTTGAGAGAAGGCCTTGTTGATCTACTCATACAAAACCAGCTACTGAACAATCTTTTTATTTAACATTTTTTTCTTTTAAAAATCATTTTATTGGGGGCTTGTACAACTCTTATCACAATCCATCCTTTGTGTCAAGTGCATTTGTACATTTGTTGCCATCATCATTCTCAAAACATTTGCTTTCCACTTGAGCTCTTGGTATCAGCTCCTCATTTTTCCCCCCCCCACATGAGCCCTTGATAAATAAATTATTATTATTTTGTCATATCTTACACTATCCGATGTCTCCCTTTACCCACTTCTCTGTTGTCCGTCCCCCAGGGAGGAGGTTATAAGGAGATCATTGTGATCAGTTCCCCCTTTCTACCCCGCCCTCCCTCCACCCTCCAGGTATCCCCACTCTCATCACTGGTCCTGAGGGGTTATTTGTCCTGGATCCTCTGTGTTTCCAGTTCCTATCTGTACCAGTGTACATCCTCTGCTCTAGCCGGATTTGTAAGGTAGAATTGGAATCATGATAGTTGGGGGGAGGAAGCATTAAAGAACTAGAGCAACGTTGTATGTTTCATTGTTGCTATCATGCACCCTGCCTGGCCCGTCTCTTTCCCCAGCCACTGAACTATCTTATGGAGCCGATTTCTACTCTGCCAAACGTGAGGTAGTATGTGTTAGAGCTACCTCGAGGGTGACTGTGCTTTTGATGTTCAAGAACAGAAGAGGCTGTTCTTGGTGGAAGTTGTGGGATTGGAGGAAAGGGCATGCACATAAGTGATGCATGCCAAGGAAATCGAATGACCTGCCATAGAAATGCCGAGAGAAGGCGACAAAAGATTTTTAGGGTAAGTACTATGATTCCAGCCTGGGGGCCTGAAATGTGCTCCATCTAAGAGGGACTCTTCTATTCTTATGAAAGCATGTATAAAGACTCATTCCTCTTGAGGCAATTTCAAATCAGAATAATCAAATAGAACTTTCCCATTGGGATTCTGAGGCTGTAAATCTTTAGAGAAGCAGTGGCCTTGAGCTGTCAATCTTTCAGTTAGCTGCAAAACACTTAACCACTAAGTCTCAATGACTCTTATAAAAACATAGATATATATAACCTTGTATTGCCGTTTCATATGGGACAGAGTAGAACTGCTCCATGTGGTTTCCAAGGTTGCAAATCTTTATGGAAGCAGACAGCCTCCTCCTCTCCCGTAGAGAGGCTGGGGGATTTGAACCTCCAACCTTCCCATTAGCAGCCCATTGTTTACCTCCACTGAACCTTAAAAACATGTAAAGCCCTCCAATTGAAATTCTTCCTAAGATCCAGGCAGGTCTGGGTATTGAGAGTAGTAGCATGGAGGCTAGATTGGGTTTTACGTTCCTCTTTGAAAATGAACTATTCTCAAACACTAGAGAGGCAGAGGATACAGGACTGACCCAAGGACCATGCCCAGTATGGAGTCCCAGCCTGGGCCACACAAGAAGGCATGTGAAAGTCAAGAGAATTGACCTGAAGTCTGCATGAGGTTTTCAGTTAGCAGAGTCAACAGGAAACGCTGGCCCAGTGCTTTCCTCCTGACGGAGGACAGCCTCCGCAGACTGCATGCAGGGAGAACATAGGCGCTATTCCAGTGTCGCCTAGGGGAGCGTTCATGGGCGCATGTGAGAGAGCCTAAGAGGACTCCCAGAATGTTCCATTGGTTTCCTGACTCCAGGATGAATTTCTGCATGTGAAGCCGCCCAAATCTACACCCGTGCTTTTGTTTATTGTTGGGACCCTCAATGTAGTCATTGCCTTTGAGCTAGAAGTAGAGAGTAAGAATAATGAGTCTCAGTTAATCTCAGAACACAATGTGTTTTAAGGTCTTCTACATGCTGGTTGATACTTGGTGATGGAAAAGAACCAGGATTTATATGGTAAGTGCCAGCTGTAGCTAAAGACGTGGACCTTTTGGTAGAAGAAGTCCCCAAGTTTACCATGAGGGACATGCCAGGGATAGCTTTCAGTCTGTGACTCATTCAGTCTGACCCGCGGGCTATTGGAGCTCAAGGCAGAGCTGTTAAACTTAAGGAGTCAAACATGTTCCTGTGCGGGGAAGACTGAGGTGAAGGAGAAAGGCCTTGAAGACTCCGCCACTGAAAACCCTGTGTCGCAAGCACAGTTCTACTGCAACGCACACGAGGCTGGCTGACCCGGGAAGACACTGGCAGCGGGATGAGAGGCTGCTTCCTCTTTCAGCAGATAGAAAATCCACCTAGGGCTCACCATGCACATGGTACATACGCCCTAAGAGCCCTGCATCCCGCTGCCCTCTCCACCTTGTGACAAGAGCCACATGTTTACACCCTTTCACGTGACTGCCCATCACTTTCATCTTTCACAGCTTACTTTTGTCCTGGTTCCAGCTGTGGAATACTGAGCAGGTGCATGTTGATGGGAGACGAGGAAGCAAAGATCGGGGACATGCTGTGATTTTTCTAGCAGGTCCTGATGGAAGGGCTCTTAATAGAAGCTTTGCTCTGGACTGGGTCTACTCTCATCGAGACTTAATTTTGGTTCTGGATTCACTCAGTTATTACTTATCAATTATCCAGGATGCATGAAGCACGAAGCTCCCGGAATCCCAAACGGCTAACTCCTCTCTGAAAGGTTGCCTTGAAAGAGAGGTCTGGCAACTGCTTCTGAAAGGCCATGGCCTTGACACCCCACCCTGGAGTTCTACTCCACACTTCAGGGGTCACCTTGAGTCAGAATGGGCTTGATGGCAACGGGCTTGGTTGTTGCCGTTGCTTTAATGCCATCGCTGCTGGGTTTGGTTCGAGCAAGTCAGATAACAGACCAAGGTCTCTGCCATCACTGAGCTTGCAGTCTCAGAAGGGGTAACAAGTGTGCAAACAACTAATTGCTCTGAGGGCGGCATGAATCAGGCATCAGGGAAGCAGAGAAGAAAATGCCATGGTGACTTCGGGGAGCTGGAGAAGAAGGCATCTGCAAGAAATGGATGCGATCTGAGTGGAAGAATTCCAGGGGACTGTAAGGGGGGTGGGGTGGCAGTGGGAGGGGGAGTGTCATTCTGTGAGGATCGGCATGGGGGTGAGAGGTGGGAAACAGCTTGGCTTCTGACACCTACCCCTGCCTTGTTGCATAGGCTACACCCGCGTAGCCACCCCAATATTCCTGTTCCGCGACTGCACCGCCACCACAGCACCGCAATGGAGGGATCGCCATGAAGGCTGTCGGTATGGACGCTTTCCATGAGATGTACGGGGTTTCATTCCAGGAGGCAGTCATGATGACAGGGATGCACATTTTCCACGCCCCCCCCCCCTTGGCAACACTCAGCATCCAAAAGACTCCACTGTTGTTAACGAGCAGGAGTCCGCCTGGCTGAGGCACCAAGCACACAAACAGCTGAGAAGAAAACTGGCCCAGGTGCACAGGATGGCTTCTTTTACCCCACCCACCCAGGGTTAGGGCAGAAGTCCTCAAAGCTTGCATGACACCGTTCAGGCCTCGGGGACAACATGCCAAGTGGACTTGTCCATTGCCCGAGCTCTCACGCACACACTTGTGGTTGGCTAGCAAAACCGAAATCACAGAGCAGAAGCAAGGGAATGATGGGCGTACCTGCACCCCCGGGCTTCCCAGTGACATGGCTTCGTGGTAACGGCTTTCTCTGCACCGGTGTAGGTCTAGGTGGCAAGGGTGGCCGGCGAGTGCCTGGGATGCTGGCTAAGAGATAAAGCCGTCACGAGGAATCACTATTTAACACAACAGATTTCCTAATGGGACTTAATAGCACACTGATGTATGGGAAACATACATTCAAATTATAGATGACTCTTGATAGGCATAGCTGCCATGTGAAGGACTATACAGACATGAACATTTTCAGTTTTTTATGGTGCAGTCGGAAGCACCATTATTCGCAATTGCCTTTGCTTCTGAGACAGTGATTTCTTACACCATCTTAACTTTTCACGGATTCCGTGTTCCCTTTTCTGGGTGCCCCACTTTATCCTCCAACTTTGTCATTATAATTAGACAAGTATATCAAACGTTTCTCAAATAATGACACCTGCGTAGCCCTCATGACAGAAGTGAGAACCAGCGTCCGTGGAGGAGAAGGCTCTCAGGACTGGTCGTGGTGATTGCGCACCGCACAAGGGCGCCTGGCCAGGCTTTGGGGGTGGGGTGGAAGTGCAGTTATCTCTGCGCCCCGACTCAAGGCTGCCAGCCCAGAAGGAGAGCACGTGTCTCGAACCTGCAGCACTTGGCACACGATTGGAAAGGCTGGGAGTGCCTGGGGAACTTCACCTCAACACAAAATTCCATTGAAGTCTTGTGTGAGAGCTTAACTATTCTCATGTTTTCTAAAGGAATATATTTTGGTTAAAAAATCTTCACGTGAAATAGAAAATCCGGGAAAATGCCCTGTGACATTCAGTGCTTCCGGAGTTTCTCCGGAGTGCTGCTGGCGATCGACTATGGTCTGTCGTCGGGAATATAAAACATATCAGACACAGGGGTATGGCACCAAATTTCACAAAAGCAAAATTTCTACATGAGGGGAATTAGAACCCACAATGACTCATTGACATTGGCCCATTGTGCCCCTTTAAAATATTATGAAAAATAATGAAAAAACTGATACCTGTTCGAAGTTCCTACTGATAATTAATTTGTCTACACAGAGCCTTTTCATGAAACCTGAAGAGAATACTTTGGGGTGTTTCTCTAGCAGGGCTCTCCTCCGTCAGTACAATGCTGACACTTTAGTGACCAACTGGCTCTTTCTGTTTGGGGTACACCGGATGATGCAATAGTTACTGTCCACATCTCAGACCGGAGTTGCTGTGAGGGAGTCCTTATCCTATCCCTTACCTGGTCTTTTGGTGGAGTGGGTTGAGACTACTGACGTGTTTCTGCCAGTACCAGGGATGGGCTGCTTGACCCCTGTGAACAGAAATAATTGAAGAAAAAAATATATAAGTACAGCCAAAACATGCTAAACTTCGGTACTTGGTAGGGCTGATCATGATGGTATATATTCTTTGTCGAGCAAGGGCTTCCTGTCTTTGTGCAATTTTCATTGGGCTTCCATTATCTGGTGGCGCTGTGGGTGAGGTATTGGACTGTTCAACCCTGCCCCAGTTGTCGTGAGTGAGAGGGACTGTCTGCTAGCCTAAGGATTTACTCCAGGCAACCCTATCTACAGTTGCCATGAACTGGAATAGGCTCAATGGCAGTGGACGTGGTCTAGCTCTTACCATATGGCTATAGGAAATCTTTCATAATCTTGCATTTACTGTGCTGGTCCTCTGAAGAAGTAGCATTTGATTGTGGATTGTGGGGTTGTCTCAATTTCCCTTGATGCCGCCATCCTGTGCTACTGTCCTGGGAGGTCTTACCTGAACAGGCATGCTTTCATCTATGGTGAGTGGCCACATTTTTTCTAATACTCATTTTTGCTAATATCCATGGGTTCATTTTTGTGGCTAAAACAAATTCCCTCCTGTCCCCCTATTTTAAAAAAAGCACACAAACTTAGAATTCCAATGTGCTTAGGTTTATGCTTACTGAGTTGACATTTGAAAATATTCCCAGAGAGACCTGGGCTGGTGAGGCCACAAATGGAATCCCTTGCCTTTGTGATTTATAAATTAAGCCAGAGCAAGGATAGAACCTCAAGTTCTGTTATTGTCAAAAGCTAATTGGAAAACTCTATTGTATGGTATTTACTAGGATAGTTATAACCAACCATTCTCTTAAATTAGTCATGCTTGAATTTTGAGTCCTCTAGGGCAATGAGAACCAATTTAGGTTTTGCCCTGTTTACTTTATTATCATTTTCTTACATTATAAATTCCCTAATGTGAGGGACAGATATCCCTGGTGGCTTAATGACGATGTGCTTGGCTTCTAACTAGAAGGGCAGTGGTTCAGACACAGCGGCCACTCCCTGGGAGAAGGACTCAGCAGGGTTCCCCTGGGTGACAGCCTTGGAAGCTTTGTGGGCAGCTGTTCTGTCTTATGGAGGCACCATGCGTTGGAGTTGACTTGGCAGCAATGGACTGACTATACGAATTAAGATAGAATGAAAACAGGCCATCTTAGAATTTAAATAGTAACGGTCACTTTGAGTATAATAAGACCAATTGCTGTCAAGTTGAACGTGACTCCTAGAGAGCCTCGGTGTGTCAGAGTAGACCTGTGCTCTAGAGGACTGTCAGTGGCCGGGGCAATAGATGGGTAGGCCTTCCTCTGGTGCATCTAGATGTAGTTGATCCTTCAGCCTTTTGATTACCAGCTGAGAGTTTTTAACTGTTTGTACAACCTATCAAGTCCTTTAGATGTAATAGCTCATCTGAAAAACAGAAGCCATACTTTGAACACCCAACTCTAATTTATGTTTAAAATATGAATGAAAGTTGGTTTAATATACTAGCTATTACATGTAAAGAGAACAAA